TTTGCCTCTTCTAGCTTCTGGAAGCTGGTAGCATTCATTGATTTGTTGATCAGTGCATCACTCAATCACTGCCTCAGATTTCCCCCTGCCTTTTCCTTATATGGACACTTATCATTCCATTTAGAGTCCACCCAGATATCCCAGAATGATGTCTTCATCTCAAGATCCATAACTTAATAACATCTACAAAGACCCTTTTCCCAAATAAAGTAACATCCACAGGTTCTTGGAAATAAGATATAAACATACCTTTTGTGTATATCCATTAAACCCATTATTATATGTTTCTAGGCTACTCAGAAAACATTTTTATAGAACAGAAATTAATAAGCAGACATGTTAGTTGTTAAGATATGTCTCTTGTTTTGTGATTAGATGGTATGGCATTACTAAGCCCAAAGCATGATATTATAATTAGTTGATTTAGTTTGTAGAGTATCACTTGGAAAATAATGAAATATTTTGGGGTGTTAATAAATATTTGTCTTTCATAGTCTTTCCAGATCTAAGGTAGAATTTGCCACAGCACTGTCATTTTCCCAGACATTAGTTTAGTACAATTGTAAATTGCCATCACTACTTAACCACTGGCTCATTAACAGTAATTTATAGAAATAGATTGGAGTGTTCAGCATAATGATGAGTCAGTGTCTCCTGCTAGTCACTCAGAACACTGAGCTCTCTGCAGAACATGTTAAATGAATATGTCTGTGATTTACCCACTTAAACAAAGCATTATGTAATAAACCACCAGTGTTTGTTTCCTGTAGACTTAGATTTCTCCCTTTGCAGCACTCAGTTAACTTTAATTGGCCAGGATTCCTGGTAGGAAGGTCATTTTGTTGCCCCTTGGCCATTTACATGTTCAAGGTAGATTTCCTTCTCTACTTTGCTGTGGTCATATTTATTTTAAATCTTCCCTAAGTGAAATAAACAAGCATTTGCAGAGTTGTCCCCTGCAAAGTAGTAAATGAAATGATCTTTTATTCATTTAAATGGCATCATTTGATTATATGATAATTCAATCCTATATTGTGTGAAACGATATCAGTTTAAACAGAACTGCACTTCCTCAGAATTAATTGCTTTATTAGATCATACTCTGTGTTTCTACGTTCATGTTACATAGAACTTGGTGAGTGGGTCTCCTTAGAAAACCTTGATAAGCATTAAAGGCTAAAATGTTTGCTTGATAGCATCTCTTCCTTTGATTTTTCAGAAATGTGGACACATTTATCTTCAACCTGCAAGTATTAATGTTTTTTAATAGTAGAAATTAGTAAGTGAAGTATTGATCAATGCATACATGCTTCCATGTGAAAATGTATTCCCTTATTACTTAGATGTTAACTGGGCCATCATCACTGAAATCATTGCCAAGTTAGCTTAATAATCTATGGTATACTCTCTTTCAGTTGCTGAAAAAACAGAATCAGAAAGCTGAGGCTTCTATGGCAGTTTAGTCACTCAGAGATCTGTGGAACCAGAGTATCAGTTATAGTCTGAATTGTAGCTCCATACATACCCATTTGTCATTATCCCTACCTCTAACATTTGAACTTTCCACACAGTTATAGTTCCCTGGAAGGAGTGAATTTGGGGCTATCACTGTGAGCCTCTTGGCTGCCACAGTACATTTATTCCTATCTCCTTGCCCCTGAGGTATTCACTGATAGTGATAAAAACTGGTAAACCTGATAGTAAACAGTTAAAAAAGATGAGATTAAGGACATTTTTTTAAATTTCTAAGTATAAAGATAACAACTAGAATGACACTACAAATTTTTAAAATATACATAAGGAATACAAAACTGGTAGACAAAGAAGTGTAGAAAATATAATATATATAATTTAAAATATGATAGAGTTAAAACCAAACAAATGAATCATACCAATAGATATGAATAGGCTTAACACTTATTAAAGAAAAGTATTTTCATGTGGCTCACAAAATGAGACCCCAACTGTATGATGTATATAACAGCATACCTAAAACACCTATTCAGAAAGGCTAAAAATATAAGAGATAGACAATAATATACCAGGAAAATGGAAATGAAAACATCAGGAGTAGTGACCCTGATATCAGACCAAGTAGAATTCAAGCCCCAAAGAAAAAGGAGACATTTCAATGCTAAAATCTAAAGTTCACCATGAAAATGTGCTTAGGAATATTTTTGCACTGAATAACACAGCAACTATCTTTATGAAACAGAATATACAGGTGATCCAAAAAACAGAGACATACTACTCATAGGAGACTTTAGAAGCACCTCTCAAAGTATCAGACAGATTAAGTAAACACAAAAATAAATCAGCAACATAGGCAGGAAAGATCTGATGAAGATCTGTCCAGTTATATACCTTGATATTAGATACAACAGAAAATATGCTTTCTCACATGCTTATGATATATATACAAAATAAAATCAAATATTTTCATAAAGAAAACATCAGTAATTTCCATTATGTAGTAATATTATAAACAACATTGTTGTTTATAATATTATAAACCACACTACAGTAAAATCAACAGTTACTTAAAAAAAGAGATCCTTCCACATGGAAAGTTTTAAAACTTGTTAAAACAACTCTTAGGTGAAATGGTGAAATATAAACTGAAATTATAGATTTTTTAAAGTAGTGACAATAAAATATTACAGCTCAGATGCCTTCTCTAATAAGTTATATAAAATGAGAAGGAGGCAAGTATTATTCAATCTATTTTTGTATAGTATTGGGGGTTGAACCTGGGGCCTTGCACATGCAAGGCAAGCTAACTCTGAGCTACATCTCTAGCCCCTTTTGTTTTATGAGGCAGGGTCTCATTAAGTTGTGAAGGCTGGCCTTGAACTTGTGACCTATCTGCCTCTGCCACCCAAGTAGCTGGGATTGCAGGCACACACCGCTGTGCCTGGCTCAACATAGTCTTCATAAGTTTGTCTACAGAGAAATAAAATACTTCGATTCTCAATGTTTTTCTGTTTTAATTATAGTATATTAAATATCAATTCTATTTTTTTATTTCTGTATATATTATAGTAGCACTAAAAAAGTTTCTGATGTTTTGACAAAATGTTTAGAAGTCACAAAACAATCATAATTTTTCCATTAATTATTAATGGCAAAATTAATAGGGTTGGGGTGCAACTCAGTGGTAGTGCACATGCTTTGCATGCACAAGGCTCAGGATTCAATCCCTGGCATCAAACAAATAATATTTCTTTTCATAGTTTCAGCATTATCATTTTTATGATCCCACATTGCTGTGCACAGTGTGACTGCCTGTACTTTACAGGCCACTATGCAAATAAATTTGAAAACCTAGATACAATAGATAATTTCCTGTGGAAATACATGTTACCAAAATTGACCCCATTAGAGGTAATGAGCTTTAAAAGGGCAATTCCCACAGAAGTAGACAGAATTATTAAGGAACTACCCCCACAAAAATGGCACTAGGTCCAGATTATTTCATAGGTACCAAATAATCCCAGTATTTGGTACCTATGAAATCAGATTATTTCAGAGCCTTAGATGTCAAAATTGCACAAGTGCCAATCTGAAAAAGCACCCTGTGGCCACAGGTGGAATAATTTAAATAAGAAAATATTAATACCCAAAGAGTTAGATATTCATGAATCTGTAATGATTTAAATAAATAATTGAACAAATAAATGAGGAATTGGCAGATCTCCACTATAGAGAGATTTCCATGAATAAAGGAAGTGATGAAAATAGAAAATCACTATTAGAACACCATAGTAATAATTGTTGGAGGCAAGATATCTACCAATGGACTCTAAAGTTAGTCCATGGCAATTTGAGGAAAAACAGAATATAGTCTCAAATTATCTTCTCTAAGGTATTTAATTACAAAGGGAAATATAGTAACCTAACACTGGAGGAAACCAACAAGACACTACCTGAACCAATGACCAAGTTTAACATCACCAGAAATAACACATCAACATCATACATTCCTGATGTAATAATGGATTGAAGACTCTTTATTTCTGTGGTATTCTTGCACAAAGTATAGAACCTCAATCTATCATGAGAAAACATCAGACAATCCCCAGTTGGGAGGATATACTACAAAATACATCATCAATATTCATCAAATGTCAAAGTTATGACAGACAAAAGACTGAGAAATTTACAAATTGGAGGATACCAAGAGATATATGACTATTACAATGTAAGGTCTTAGGTTGAATTCTAGAACAAAAGGACATTGAAGGGAAAACTAGTGAAATTTGAGTAAAATTTATAGATTAGTTAGTAGTATTGCAATGTTAATTTCCTTGTTTGGCTCATTGTACTTGGATTATTTAAAATGTTAATATTAGACAAAACTAAATGAAGGATGTACAGGAACACTGTACTGTTTTTGTAATGTTTCTATAGGTGTAGAATTATTTCTAAGTAAATGAGCCAATGGCCAAATAAACAATTATAAGTTATCAGTTAATATTTGTTTCTTAGTTTAAGAGAGTTAAGGATTATTTGATGCAAACTGTCTTAGAGTAATTTATATTGTTAATCTAAATTTAATAAGCCCAAGAAAATAATTCAGGAATGACTCCTTTACTCTTTATTAAGTCCAAAAAAGCTTAGCTACCCTTCAGTTCTTCAAAACTTTTCAAACAGAAGTTGGTCTGACTATTTAGGAAGTAGGACATGGGATGGCCTTTTTAAAAGGAGAATATTAGCTGGGTGTGGTGGCTTGTACCTATAATCCCAGCAACTTGGGAGGCTGAAGCAGGAAGATCACAGATTTGATGCCAACCTCAGCAACTTAACAAGACCCTAAGCAACATAGTGAGGCCCTGTCTCAAATTTTAAAAATTAAAAGGGCTTGGAAATGTAGCTCAGTGGTAAAGGGCCCCTGGGTTTAATCACAGTTCCTAAAATACAAAAATAAAAGGAGAACATTAAATGGTATTAGTTCCATAGTTATGAACTAACTTCTCAAGGCATGTGCAATATCTTCCCAGGTATTCCGGAAGGACCTCATCAGTGCCATGAAAATTCCAGATTCTCATCACGTCAATCCTGACAGCTATTATCTCTTTTCGGACACGTGGAAAGAAGAATGGGAAAAGGGAGTCCAGGTACCAGCCAGTCCAGACAATATTCCACAGCCTTCTGTCAGGTATTTGCATGCTTGTACCTTTGACTTAGGGAATTAATGCTCTTAATGTTATTTGTATGCTGCTTGGGGAGAAAGAGTGACTAATTACACATACATAATGCAAAGTCACATAACATGCTTACCAATTCACTAAGACACATTATACCAGGTCATGGTGGATCTGTAGTTAAAGTAAAGCTCATTTGTTCAAGAACATAATGCAAGCCCATTCATAGGATGAAACTGTTGGAAATTCAATCTGAAATGATGGTAGGGTTTTGAAGAGCAAGATTTTCAAGTCTGATTCAATATTCAATAGCATTTATTAGTCAATATTCAATAGCATTTATTAGAGAAATAGAGCATTAGTTAATAACTTTCCCTTGGGAAGTTGCTTCATATAATAGGGTCATCATAGTGATGGCATCAATAGAGGGCCAAAGCCTACAGTTTCTAAAATGCATAAGCCCAAATGAAAGGGGAGTATTGGAATAATTGGATTGACTATAAGCATATGGCCTTCATTTGCAAAGACTTGAGAAGAAGTTGAAGTATGAGTGGTCTTTGGTTTTGTGGAAAGAAAAGGACTTTTCTGCCAGAAAAAGTATAAATTCAGCTCCTCAGAAATAATGGCTACTTTGGGAAGCCATTTGTCTTACTTGTCTTTGTGTTCCCAATGCTTCACATAATGGCTATTATGAAGTGAAATATTAAATATAAGTTTGAGTGAATGAGGGCTGGGGTTGTGGCTCAGTTGTAGAGCGTTCGTCTAGCATGTGCAAGGCCGATCCTCAGCACCACATATAAATAAATAAATAAAAGGTATTGTGTCCAACTACAACTAAAAATAAATATTTACAAAAATTTTTTAAAAAGTTTGAGTGAATGAAGAAATGAATAAGTAGATCATACAGCTTCAGGTAAAGGGGCTGGTAGGTCCTGCTAGTTACTATGAGAAATAGTTGATCTCATTGTAGATCTGTTTCTACCACGTTAGGTTCTTAAAGGACAGAGATAAACATCCTTGAATTTTCTGCTCTCAGCACCAGGTTTTATCCTCCAGAACTGCTTGTTGAATCACTTCTAGAAACCAGGGCCCAGGCTGTCCCTCCCACAAGAGGCTATCCACATTCTGTTAAAGAAAGCTTCAGAGCCTTGCTCAAAACATGTCCCATGCCTCACTAGTTCATCATCAACACTTTCTCCTCCCTCCTAAAAATCAGAATAGCATCATGAATGAACACAAGAGTTGAGCATTTTCTTGTCTTTGCTGTCTGTATTTTTGTATAACTGTAGCAGCCCTGGTGCTGAGCTAACAATCCCCATTCCATTGACACTCCAAGTCAATATCAATTATCTGTACAATGGCAGTGATTTTAATTTTTCAACTTAAATGGAAGATGTCCATTGTACCACTTTAAAAATAGTATCTATCAGGCTGGGGATATAGCTCACTTGGTAGAGTTGCTTGCCTTGCATGCACAAGGCCCTGGGTTCAATCCCTAGCACCACACACAAAAAAATAATATCTATCAAATAAGTCAGGTAACAAGAATAGAGCAACAGTTTAGAAAAGACTAAATTTAGAGACTGAAAGAGTTAGCCTTCTCTCACAAGGAGAGAGATGCACTCCTTAATTCATATGAGACCTTGGTGCTATAATATTTGTCCTGAGAATTCAGAATACTTAACCATTTTAAGTGCCATGAATTTTTGCTGAATCTCTTCTATTTCCCATAGTTCTTTCCCTGTCATATGAACCCTTAATTTTAATTGGACAAAGCAGAATATTAAATTATTGATCATATTAAATTCCTTAATGAAATTTGGACCTGGTTGCACTTGCTAGGTAGAATGTATTGTTTTTAGCCATATGATCCAGTTATACCTCTCCTGGGTATATACCTGAAGGAATTAAAGTTAACATACTATAGAGATACCTGCAGACTCAGGCCTTTCATCTCACAATTTACAATATCCTAGGTATAGAATCAGCCTAGGATGCTGATCAGTAGATGAATGGATAAAGAAAGTGTGTCATATATACACAATGGAATATTATTCAGCCATAAAGAAGAATGAAATCATGTCATTTGCAGGAAAATTATGAAACTGAAGATCATAATGTTAAAAGAAGTAAACTAGACTCAAAAACAAGTATCACATGTTTTCCCTCATATGTAGGCTCTAGGGGAAAAAAGAAAGACAACTTGAAAAACAGAGACAATTAGAGAAGTAGAGGGGATTGGGGGAGGGGGAGATGAGTATGATCAAAATTTTTCTGCACATATAATGTCACAATGAAACCCATTATTCTGCATAATTAAAATTCACTAATAAAATGTGAAAAATCTGTATGGTATGAAATGATATTAGAACATTGATGAAGAATTAGTTTTAATATTACTTCATTTAATCTTCAAAAGCAAATAAGTTCAGTTAACATTTTGTGGGGAATACTAGGGATTGAACTCAGGGGCACTCCACCCTGAGCCACATCCCAGCCCTATTTTTTTTTTTTTTTTTTTGATTTTGTTTAGAGACAGGGTCTCACTGAGTGCTTAGCGCCTTGCTATTGCTGAGGCTGGCTTTGAACTCTCAGTCCTCCTGCCTCAGCTCCTGAGCCACTGGGATTACAAGCGTGCACCACCACACCTGGATCAGTTAACATTTTTGAGTACTATCTATATTTAGACCATTTATTTTGCCCCATGCTGTGCAGTTATTCCAAAACAGGCCTTTTACAGACACGATCTAAGTCTTTAGGGTATTTTGTTGTTGTTGTTGTTTTTGTTATTGTTGTTGTTATTTGGTACCCAGAGGCACTTTAACACTAAATTTTATTCCCAATCCTTTAATTTTTTTTTAATTTTTAGAGATGATCTTGCTAAGTTTCCGAGGCCAGGCTAGCCTCAAACTTTAGATCCTCTTGCCTCAGCCTCCCAAGTCACTGGTTTTATAAGCATGCACTTACGCCCCCAAGTCTAGGTTTTTGACAGAGTTTCCTAATTTCCCATCCATATATCCTTTAAAAATGTTTTTTAGTTGTAGATGGACACAATACCTTTATTTTATTTATTTACTTTTATGCAGTGCTGAGGATCGAACCCAGTACCTCACATGTGCGAGGCAAGCGCTCTACCACTGAGCCACAACCCCAGCCCCATATATCCTTTTGGTGAAATGTATTTTCATATCTTTGGCCCATTTTGTAATTGGAGTATTTATTTAATGTTTTTGTCTTGGAGATTTAACCCAGGGGTGCTTTACCACTGAGCTACATTTCCAGCCCTTTTCATTGATTTATTTTTGAGACAGGATCTTGCTAAGTTCCCAAGGCTGGCCTCAAACTTGCAATCCTCCTGCCTCAGCCTACTAAATAACTTGGATTACTACACCACTGTCCCCAGCTTAAATCGTGTGTTTAATGTCATCTCTTTGAACTCCTCATCTATCTGTGTATCCCAAAGATTTTCTCCTATTTTTTATGAATTTCAGTTTTAGGGCTGGGGATGCATAAAACTGACTTATGACTGACTGACATGCATAAGGCCCTAGGTTCATTCCCCAGCACCACACACACATAACAGAGTTTTATAGTTTTATATTTTTACATTGAAATGCGTAATCCATTTTGAATAAATTTTGTATACGATGTAAGGTTTAGGTCTGGTTTCAAAATCATATGAGTTGATTTCTCCCACTTTATTCTTCATTTTTCAAAATTGCTGTGGCTGTTTTAATTTTTATAAGAAACCTTGCTGAATTTTCATAGGAGTTAAACCTATATAACATTTGGTGAAAACTGACATCTTTACAATGTCAAGCCTTCTAATTTCTCATTTATTTAGATCTTCTATGATTTCTTTCATCAGCATTATGTAGTTTACGGCAAACAAGTCCTGTATGTTTTGCTAGATTTAAATTAAATGTTAATTTTTGAGCAATTTTTAATGGTATTGTAATTATAATTTTCAGTTTCCATATGTTCATTGCTAGTATGTACAATTACAGTGAATTTTTGTACATTCATCTTATATTCCTACAACCGGGCTGAATTATGTAGTTTTGTTTTTATTATTTTTTTCTTTTGATTTTTGTAGTACAAGGGATTGAACCCAGGGACACTCTTATCACAGAGTTAGACCCCCAGCCCTTTTTGGTTTTTATTTTGGGACAAGGTCGCATTATGTTGCCCAGGCTGAACTTGTGAACCTCCTGCCTCAGCATCCCAAGTCACTGGGATTACAAGTGTGTGCCGCTGTATGCAGCTCCTTAAAATTTTTCTATGTAGACCATCATGTCACCCCAAAATAAGGATTGTTCTCCTTCTGCCTTATCAATCTCTTTACCTTTTATTTTCTTTATTGCCTATTGCAGTAACTAAAACTTCCAATATAACATACTGAATAACAGTGGTGAGAGCAGACATCCTTCCCTTGTTTCCAATCTTAGGGGGAAAGCAGTCAATCTTTCAGTTTTTCAGTCTGATGTTAACTATAGGGTTTTTTTAATAAATTTTCTTTATCAAGTTTAGAAATTTCACCTCTGCTAATTTGTTGTAGTTTTATCATGAATAGACACTAGATGTTGTCAAATACTTTTTCTGTGTCAAATAATATGATTATGTGATTTGTCTTCTTTAACCTATTAATATTATGAATAACATTAATTGATTTTTCAAACATTGTACCAGCCTTGCATTGTTGGAATAAAGTCCCATGTGTTAGGCAGTTTGGGCTACCAGAATAAAATACCACAGTCTGGGTGTCTTTAACAACAGAAATTTATTTTTCAAAATTCTGATGGCTGAAAGTCCCTGATCAAAGACCAGAAGTTTTTGTTGAGGGTCCCCTTCCTTGTTTTCCACTTCCTTATATGGCCTTTCTTTGGAGCAGGTGCAGATAGAGGGAGATATTTTCCTTCTCAATAAGCCTATCAGAGCCACAAAGTGTGGTGGAACATGCCTATAATCCCACCTGTTCAGGAGGCTGAGGCAAGAGGATCACAAGTTTGAGGCC